CCCCTTCTTTAAACCTCTTGCAGCTTTAGTGGGTGCAGCGTAGCTCAATGTGAACTTTTGCTACGCCTGCTGCACGCTCTGATTAAACGCAGGGCTCGCCGGTATTACTGCTTTCTAGCATGTGAACTGTCTGAACAAGGTTGATCATTTGTTAGTAAATCTTTTGTTTTTTTTTCAGATAACAAAAATTGTCTTGTTTCAGTTGCGCCATTTGGGGCTCACCTAAAAATGTACTTGGTGTGAGTTATCTGGCCTGGGACGGGCAGTAGGAGTGTCGGGCTGGTGACCCAGTGGGCAGGCTTATATAATATAACTGTAGGGAACACAGACTTTGAAAAGGTGCATGTTTATGATTTATCTGAGAGGGAACTTTAGATTTATATTTTTTTTATTTTTTATTTTTGTTAAAACTGTGTACATACTATAGAAATCTGGAACATTCAGCACTCTCTGAACTAGCATAACTCAGTCATTTCACAGTTGAGTTAAGCTCATTTGACTGGTTCATTTTTTTAATGAAATGAATAAAGGATCAGCTGACTGATTCAGCTGTAAATAAAGTTTTGTTTTAATGCATAAATTAATGTATAAACATTTAAATATACTAAAAAAGTAAATGTGTTGTAGGCAAGTCATCTTGCATTCAGATGCCGTAGTTGCTTTTTTTTTTCCCCCCCCCTCCTGATCAGTCCTTCCACCTCATCTTGGCACCAGTGAGGCTCATTATGTTAAAGGTGCCCCAGATTTTAAAAGCCCTTAAACTGATTTGTTACTGAACAAAAATGTGGCTAATTAGGCTGAGCTCAACAACCACTCGACCTTTCACATCTCTCTGGCCTGACTCTGTGAAGAATTGATAATGGCCAAGATGGATGTTTTGGGCTATAGGGACTTATCTGAACTGACCCTGATAAGGCCTGTAGCATAGCAACACTGAGGCGCTGTGTGTGATTATTGACAGATGTCGGACATGGCAAAAGATAATGGCTGTGTGCCTGATTTTTCATATTATCAGTAAGGAAAATGATTAACTAACATGTTTACAGTGGAAAAGCCGAGTCAGAGTCTGGCCACATTTCTGCAACTTTTTCCTTCAGCACACAACGTCACATCCCAGGTCACTATTAATTCAATGAACTCATGGTGTTGTGCTTGTTCTAGCATTCACTAATAAATCTGTTTGGCTCTCTATTCTTCAACTGTGGTTGAATTGAAGAGGTCAGTGTAGTTGGTGTACACGTGAGGTCAGCAGACACAGCTCAGAGTAGGGATCTTGCAAAGTGTGGTGCATTTTAAGTGCTGCCTTACCTCGTTAAACACTGGTGATTGACGCAGCCAACTGACGGCTGATGTCACACAGGAACTTAAATTAAAAAAAACAAAGTCGACTGTGAAATTGGGGGGAAAATGTCTGTTTGAACTGATGTTTGAAGCTTTGCAGCTGGTGTAGAACTTGGTTAGAGAGGGGGCTTGTTGCATTTTGGCAAAATCGGAGTCTTGACCAAGAATATTTAATTTTTAATTTTTAATTTTAATTTTTTTTAGTAGCTGTTAAAAGCTTAAAGCTCACTACAGATGAACAGGGTTGTTTGTCCTACAGCGGCCACTATAGGTAGGATTGTGCACTTGAATTGGGAGCAATAAGAGAACAGAATTCATACTGCAGTCTGCAATCTACCGATCCCTAGTGGTGGTATTTTACACAATGTACTAAATAATGATGTGGAAGTCAGAAAGGTTTTTCATAGATATGAGATATCTTTTTGAATAACTGAACTTGGTGTGTTTTGGATAAATACATGACTGATTATATCTTTTGTGGAAAAGTTTGACTCCTAGGATGATTTTATTTGTGGTATTCCTTTTTATTGACCTAGAATTGGCTTCCATAATTTTCTTCAGTGGTCAAGGTTGTGGAAAGCTGGGTAAAAAGCCTGATCCTGAGTCAGCAGAAAGGGATTTTGAAATCCTACAGTTGACCTGGTAACATGTATTGAGCCATGGATTAGCATCAACAAATCAAAATGGATTGGCAGGTGGCTCCCACTCATTTGAGCCTTTAAGATGGGCTTTGCTCCCACTGACTCACCTCTAAGGAAAGGCTGCTCCAACGAGGACAAAGGAGTCAAGTCCAAGAAATGATTGAAAGGGAACGAGTCTTTTTACGGTGTAAAACCACGATTAGCAAGCCCGTGCAGGCCAGAGGGTGGGTGGGGGGGATGGCTTTAGACAGAATAGTTTAAAGATGCAGGGCTCAGTTAACTCACAGACTATTGAAGTATATTTACTTTTTCATTCTCCTCAACTGAATGAATTTCCTTCTGAACACAGTGCAGTTGGGCCCCATCTGTAATGAAAAGGAGGGAGGCCAGGCTCCAAATGAAATGCTCCTTCGACAGAGTAATTAAGTCCAGACACAAAGGGCTCAGCAGGAAAGAGTTTAATAGGGGAGGAGTTGGTATTCTCTTGGGGTTAGTCGGGTCCAGCAGAACTTCTTTGGACTGCAGGAAGGCAAGGCAGCAGAGGGTTCACTGGCCCACAGCCAGTTCACACTGTGGGTAAAAAGGACTGGGATATTACTCATCTATTTTCTCTGCTGGTGGTATTACATTAAACAGGGCATTGCTTTCACATTAAAAACATCTTAACTAAAAGGATGTTTAGCAGAATCCTTGTAGATTTCTAATTTATAGAAGGCCTGAATGTCATAGAAACAAACTGGTTTGTATGATTGGTATTACTGGTATTGGTCCGCTTCAATCAATCTCTATGTATGTCCATGCTGACGTCCTGATTAGATATGTTAGCACGTTGGAGAAAAGAAGGTATGTGGCATCCATAACACATTTTAATTTTTTTAACACTGATGGACTTAAGTCATGCACTAATGAGACATGAGTTTTTCTACATCTCAAGAGATCCCTCGAGGACTTTTGGAGTTCACATGGCTAACTTTTTCTGTATCTTTACTCATGTTTACTCCATTTCCACCCCCCACCCACCAACACGTACACAGTGTCATATAGTGGAAAATCAAAAGGACATCACCTCCCGAAACATTCTACTTTTAACTCATTACGTAATCTGCTCCCATTTCTGTTTTGCACTTATGCACGGGTGATCGCATGAATCGCCGGAGCGCTGCAGGCAGCATGTGTGCGCCACGTGCTGTGTGTGTTGTGGTGACGGAGCGTCGTGGAGGTGGATGCGCTCTGCTGTCTGGAATAGCGTTGATCCTCTTAAATGATTACTGGCTACGACTGGAGAGAGGCGATCTGTGTTGGTAACATGCGGACAGATGCCTCATCCCCACCCTCAACAAAATGTGCACACAGCATCTATGTTGACTTACGCTGCAGGGAAGCTCCAGCTAGGAATATTTCCTTTAAGTCCTATTAAAGTCTGAATATTACACATTATCTGAAACTGCCGTGTGCCTTATGTATGAATTCTGGTTGTGTTTAGTACGACTTTGCTAAGCTACGAACCCGCACCGCTTGATGGCTCTTGATTTTAAGAGCCAGGATATTGAAAAAAATCCTGTCGACAAGACCTGTAACGTGATGAAGACACATTCCATATGGATTGAAGAGTGCTGATGTTCCCTGATGTTTTCCTCTTATCTAAATGTGAATGGGACATTATCACCAGCCTGAATTAGTCCGAGATTGATAAAATTGATCCCAACCAGTTATCTCTGCTATGCCAAATCATTCTTACCCTTAAGCTTTACCCCAATGATAAGTGCGCTGTAGCAAATGCACTAAATTACATGGAAATGCGGTTTAAAGAGGGGAACAGACTGGGCCCTTTTTTTTTCCCCCCCCTCAGACGACCTTAGAGGAATGTGCGTGGTAGTTCTCAGTGTCCTAGAGTTAAACACTGCCCTTTCCAGTGTGCCACACCAAAGTTCACCATAATGAAACGTGCTTTGTCTTCGCCTCCCCATTTTTTGACTTCAGCTCTCGCCCTCCTCTGTGCTTGACATTTGACTGTGTGTGGGTGCCTTTGGTCTCTACAGGAAATCGTGCTCTCAGGCTCTGCTGGAGCCCCAGATGCACACAACTGGAGTCCAGAGCCAAAGATTTGCCCTTTGTCCAGTGTTGTTGAGCGTGACCCGTCACGAATGCATGTATGCCGAAAAGAAGCAGAGCCATTCTGGATCTTTAGAACTCTAAATGTCGCCATGTTTTTCCACTGCCTCTGGGTATTTTGCTTTGTAGCCCCGAGGTTATGTCCAAAGCGTGCTTTAAAAGACTTCACTGAAATCCTCTTAAGCTTGACGTAGATGTAACAAATCATGCTTCTCAGTGCTCTGTCTCTGACCTAATCTGTCAGTTATTGCCAATACCCATACTGCAACTGTCACACACATTCCCCTGAACTTTATCTCAAATCTAAAAAAAAAAATGTTGTTTGATCTTGAGCAACACCAGGAATTACTCGGAGCATGTTGTGATATCTTGCAGAGAATTAGACAATCTACAGATGCTGTGGCAAATTAACAATCTGGGTTTGATTGTCTACTTGAAGCTACTTGAAACAACTGTGTCAGACCAACATCTGGACATCTGATCCGATGACGTCATGTGTTCTGCTTTTGCCGCCTTGAAGTTTACTCTCTTTGAGGCAGTTTTCTTGAAGCCCTTTCCACATGGATGCTAATGTCATTTTCCTTTGCACCTGCGGCTTAACAACTGGAGAGGTTCTTACTGTTGGCCTGCCTCCATCCTCAAACACTCTGCTGGGTACTGGCTTGGAAGATTGTGTGGATGCTCTGGTGGGACAAGCCTGGGGGGGTTAGGGTTAGGCACCCTGATTGAAGAGTTCCTCGTTTGGTTACTGGTTTTGAGGTGTGTGTGTGTGTGTGGTGGGAGAGTGGCAAGCTAACAAAACAATGGATGCTTTGTGAGAGGGATCCCACCGTGACAGGATTGTTGGGGGGAGGAAGCAAGGGGGTGGTCAGGGCTTAGCGAAGCGTAGCCACTTGATTAGTCAGGGCTCTCCCTTTGCACCTCCTCCCATCCATCTCTCGTCCCACCCTCCCTCCTTGTCATTCTCTCACTGCCTTTCCCTCCCCGCTAACTCGTGGAAGCAGAGACGTTGGAGCCGCTCTGCCCGGACACATCGCAGGGTTTTCGGCTCGTCATTGAGGATGTTTTGGAGGTTGATCAGAGTTGCTTGTTGCAGCATCTTCCCTGACTGTCCGAAATGTTTGTTGTTCTCAGGTAAGTTGTCTCGTGTTGTCATCCTTTCTAGTCCATGCCGACCTGTCCTTGGTCGCTGACTTGCATTTCCTCTCCGCTGGGCTGCAGTTGTGGTATTGGATGACTGTGCACAGCACTGTTGGGCTGGCTTCTGATGAACAAATCATTTCACTGTCAGTTGTAGCAGTATTTTTATGTAAAGCTGCAGGAATGTATCTTTTTATGTCAGTTTTACCAATCTGTTTATGACAACATCAGTGGAAAACACGAGAACAGTGAAATACTGCAGCGTAGAAGTTTCACAAACCCATTTCACTTTCCATTTTGTGGTGGATATAAGCTGAGGTTTGTGTGTCCAAGGAGAATGTAGGGGTTGGTGTTGACAGACTATTGCCTCAGCTGCGTTGACCAAATTGTCAGTGTTATTAGGATCTCCATGCTTGGGATTGCTTTCTCACCCCACCCACTGTCTTTCTTTGTCAAACACACACACCCTCGGGGACATTGGAGGGTCAGGGTAATCCCTCACATCCTGTGTGGGGAAAGATGCAGAGCAGCACTCCATCACTCCCTTTGTGAGAAAGTTTGATTCCCCCTAAACTCATTGCATGTCCTGCAAAAACAGCATGGACCTCCTTTTTGACGCAGAAGGTCGCTTGCTGTTTATATCTTTAACTTCCTTCTGCTATTTAACTCAGCACAGTCACATTTGGCTTTCCTGTCTAATTCGTTAATAAAACAGGCCCTCTGTGACTGAGAGATGAAGGAAAGCTATGAAGATTAAGTTTGGGAGAAGAGCCACACGGAATGGACTTTATGAAATAATCAACATGTGTCCAAATGGAGCTTAGAAGTCACTGTTCTCATAGGGCTCTGCCTTGACTCCAGAGTCCGCATGTTCCAGTGTAGGGTTGGCCAATAAGCAAAATGTATTGATTATAGTGCTGCACCTTCATTATTTGTATTGATTTATTTTTTGTACAGTCAATGAAATGTCAGAAAGTCCTGATTGCTAACGGCACACATTATCTACTCTTAAACTCATTTTTTTTTTTTTTTTTTTTTGACTCACTAGCAAGAAAACGCAGCTTATGATTGGCTACATTGCCATTTCCACTTTGGATAAAGTTTGTAATGATGTTGTCATACACATGAAGCAGTAGTATTGGCAATACACTTGATTTTAACCTAGGTAAATTACCAACTGTGTAAATTCTTCCAGCTAATACATAATTTGTCATTTTATCCTCGCCTAGCTTCTGCTGTATGGGGGTTTGCCAAAGTACTGATTAAACAACTAGTCAATTGATTAATTGTTTGCATCATTCATAAAAATGACATGCCAAACTTTTTCCAGCTGTATTTTATGTTCATCATATTAATGGATGCAAAGATGTCACTTTGGTGTTTGGGGAAGCTGAGATTTATTACATTGTTATTTTTAGGCTCATCATTAAGCAGGTTTAGCAACAATGAGTGGCTGTCCAACTTCTTTTTTTCAATTCAATTTTATTTATATAGCGCCAAATCACAACAAAGGTCGCCTCAAGGCGCTTCATAGATACAGAGAAAAACCCAACAATCATATGACCCCCTATGAGCAAGCACTTTGGCGACAGTGGGAAGGAAAAACTCCCTTTTAACAGGAAGAAACCTCCGGCAGAACCAGGCTCAGGGAGGGGCGGCCATCTGCTGCGACCGGTTGGGGTGAGAGAAGAAAGACAGGATGTCTTGTTGGCACACACAGTTTACATGTAGTGAAATGTGCTGTATAAATAATATTAGCTTACCTGGATTTTACCCTGCTCTGAATATTAGTACAATTTTTTTTTTAAAACCCTCAAAGTTGGATAAATGAAGAACATTTTCCCCCTCTGTACGAATACAGAACGCCATGTTCTCAGAATGAGTTTCATGGTGGAACCAGTTTTTATAGAGAAGCCGGTTAGTCATCCACCTCATACTTGTGCAGCATTTCTCTTTGCTGTCCAGCAACACCAAGGTCTCAAGACTCTTAAGTGGATACCACTCCCACTGCTGTTTCAAAAGAAACGCCTAAAAAGCATGTCTTTTCATGCTGCGCTAAAGTCAGCTAATCTCCTCCAGATCCATATTAAATGCATCCACATGAGGTGTTTATGCAGGAGTTGGCTAAAACGGTGAACTGTTCCTTTAAAACTCCCTTAGGTAGCTTTTAATCAGATACCCTGTGCATCTTGATTAGCAGTTTTCAGGAACGCAGATGCAGCTCTCTGGAATTTCTTGTTCGCATTCTTTATGTAAAACGTAAATAAAAACAACACAAGGATTTTTATTAAATTGAAAATGGTGCAAAGACAACACAAGATGTTTAAACACATTGTCCTTATTAGAATTTGATGTTACGTTTTGCACTGTTGTAACTTTATTTAGTCTGAGACCTGTTTTTCTTTTTTTCCTTCATGTTTCTACAGAATGAAAAGGGGAATCATCTAGGATCAAAGTAATGGCTGTCCAGGCTGGCATCCAGGTAGGCTCATCCCCCATCTCAAGTCTGATATACATGAAGCTCACAAACACATGGATGTTTAGTTTCAGTTTAAACCAGTGCTGTCCTCATTCTGGGCTTGTACAGCCGCTATATATTTTAGCACATGCTGTAGGGCTAACTTGATTTTGAGTCCTTATCGTAGCACCCCCTTTGGGCCAGTCAGAGCCTCAGTGCCATGCTGAGGGAAGAAGTTCCCACATACTCCACGTTGTAGTGTTCAAATTAAAGAAGTGCAGACATCTGTCTTTCCACTCAACAACTGTGGTGAGCCCACCTGTGCTGCAGCATGCCATCTTGTTTTTGTTATGCATGTCTGGCGTTCCACTGCTCGGACCCTGAGGAGTTTCCCCGCACATTTTTAAGGGGGGAGTGGGTGGAATGCACAATGGTTTTTATATATTTGTTTTTTTTTTTCTTTCCCCCTCTCTACCCCTCCCAGCAACGAAGTGTTACCCATCCCAAAAACCAAAACAACACATGTATCATATTACAAATTTGTCACATGGCAGCACCTCCCTGCTTTTCTCTGGTCTGGAAAGTCCTGGCTCTCGCAGCCCGTCTTGGACTGAAGATATGCAAAACATGTATCTCAGTGCTATGTGGATAACATGTGGCAGAAAAGCTCTCTGGCTGATGCCGATGTGTTGATGAGGCTTGTGGGAGCTGTCGATGAACTGCGGTTGGATGCTGCAGATTAAGAAAAGATTACATTACTTAGAAAGTTTGCCTGCGCCAGATAATATTCAATTTCCTTTGTAGTTTATGTAGCACAGTCTCTTTTTAAGTTTTCTTTTGTTTTCCCCAAATAATGGTTTGGTAGCACCAAACTATAATCTCAGAGAAATTTGGAATGTAAAAAAACAAGCTGGGTAAATGAGAGTATAAAGGAAAAGATTTTGCTTGCCCAAAAAAATGCATCGGTTGTTCACATGTGAAAGGAAGGTGTTTCATCCTTCTTTTTTAACTTTTAACTTGGATTATCAGACCTTTAGCAGCATCTCAAGCTTCTTCAATGCCACAGAGCAGACCAAACAGCGACCAAACAGACCAACGTAGATGGAGAAGAAGGGTATTTAGTGGGTTTTATTTTCCAAATATCAATCAGTCACCCTGTGAGGTTATTGATCCGTATCAGATTGTAGTGATGATGCAGACTGTAACACTGCAGCGACTTCCACAGCTCGACTCAGAGCTTCACTGCCCATGTAGAGCACCGTCACATTCGATAATCGGTCACACACTGACTGCTCTGCTCACTCATGCTGAAGATGTTATTCACTCATGGAAGTCTAAGCGGCATATGCGTTCATCTATAATAGCGTTAGTACAAATGCAGCGATTATCATATGTAATGTCTGAGGCTTTGTTGCCCCTGAAATCTCTTGTGATAGTAGCTGTGGGTTAAAAATCACACCAGTTAAGGAATATCAAATTCCTTAACTGCCAAATGCTCAATATGCTGGTTGTTGCTAAAACAGAAATAGATTAGCAGAAATTACTACAATCACTAAACAGACATAACAGACAGGAAACACCTGAAAAACTTTGGTAAGATGATAATGGTCACCTATAAACTTGACCAATCAGAAAGCTTGTGTCATTCTGAAAAGAACAGAGTGACTTTGCTAGCTTAGCCTAGCCAAACCAATCTGCTGTGGGTTAGTTATAATCCTAAAGGGTTTAAAGGTCAGTCAGGCCATGGGAAGTAAGGAAAACTCTTACATTGGGAAATTATCCTTCAGATCTGGTTGAGCTACACAACATTTAACTTTAGTTGAACATTGACAAAGTCAATGTTCAACTAAATTCTTGTTTTCAATCGACGTCTTTTGCATGAGTCATTGAAATAAAGATTAAAAAAAATGTTTTGCATTCACGTGACTCTTTCCTAGCTCGGTGTGCTCAGAACACTCCATAAAGACTCTTATTCACCCATTCACACACTGCTGCCATTGGGAGCAACTTGGTATTTAGCATTTTGCCCGAGGACACTTGAAGGTCAAACCACCAATGGTTTAATCAGGGGTCAACTTCTTTTACCACCCTCAGGATTAGTTTAAGAGAACACATCAAGATATTACTAGATGGAGAGAGATGTATAGATGTATCTCAGTGTTCCCCTTTGACCTTCTTACTATTTGCTATTGTTTGAGGGAATTTAATTGCCCTTTGTGTAAGTGGCTTAAGGTAAGAGCATCAGAAACTAGTAATTCAAGTAATTGGCAACATACAGGCACAAAGCCCCCCTTTTTTTTTCCTTTTTTTTTCTTTTGGATTACCAATACGCAATCCTGTACCTAATGAGTAAACAGAGAAGGGTTGTTTGGGGAGGGGTCAATGTTGAATTCCCCTATACTTGCCTTCATTAAGCTTTAAAACCTGAATGTTCACTGAGCCTACATACAGTCAGGTGCAAGTACTAGTTTGAGAAGTGACGTAAAAGGCGCTGTGCCGATTAGAAATGCTGCCTGACCACTGGGGATAATCCAAAGTTGCACTACGCTGCATGTTGCAAAAAATAACATGCGTTGTTGTGACTGTAGAGAACACCGCGGGCAGGTTAAGCTTCTGAGCTGTTGCGTAATCGGTGTCTTTTGAAGCGAGACAACCTTGAGACAGCGGGACCGTTCTGAACATCGGGCGTTTTGCCACTTTCCCGTGTTTTTAAGCTCCTCAACACTTTGGGGTCAAAGGTGATATGACATGGACGAACATGGGGCTTTATCACAGGAATGCTATCTCCCCTCTCAGTTCAGACAGATCCACTATCACCAAAGGATTATTTACATCTACCCTCATTCAGGTTTACCTGTACGAGTCTGTTTTGGCTCTTCAAAGTGCAGACATTGGAAAGCTGCAGGCAGGGACCCCGACACAACGATCATCACATTTCTTTTTGCTGAAAGCTGATGTGCTCTAAGTTAGAAATAACAAGAAAACAGGTCCTGTTTTGGAGGTGGGTTGCAAAGCGGCTTGTATGTAGGCTAAAGCCTCAAATAGCACCTCATATAGCATCATTGTATCATCTAATTTAATTGATGCATGGAAGTTCATCAGCTGAGCCATCAGCTTGTTTGAGCTGGCACTGTTGAACCCAACTTTATGACTCGTCTAACACTGTGAGTTCAGATGTGATTGAAACCTCTCACTCTACAAACAGGATTCAAGTTGGATGTTTGAGATGTATGGGAAACGTAGGCTATGATGGTCGTGAATTTTGACCCTTACTGGTTTAAAAGTCAGAAATTCTGGGCCTCTGCTGCTTTGATGAGCTTGCCTCTTGAGAATCCCCCAGCTTAATGGCTGTGCCGTATTAAATCACCGGAGCAGAACCTCAAAGTCAAAATGTGATTTGCAAAAATGGAGGGCACACAGCATGATTGTGTTTTTATGCAGTTAATCTGTATAGGAAGAGCATGTTTTTGTTTTGTTTTTTTCCTCCACTTTTCTCTCTGAAATCCTCATTATAAGACTGCATATTGACACTGAAGGTTAAACACCAAGTTCACACAGTCCTAATAAGTTCTTAATCTCTTATAACCTAAAATGAGGGACCATCATGCACCCAGTTCCTTGAAATTCCCTTTTTTTAATGTAGTTTTATTTACTATACAGATAGATGCATCTTGCTAAAGACTTGCTAATGATTCAATATTCCTAATTCAGTGCTTCATTGTTTACAAGACTACTCGAAGCTTGCACATACAGTATCCTGAACAGTGTCTGGGATAGCTCAAAGTATCAGTACAAGCCCATTACTGTATAACAGTCTCTCTCTATTCCGCTGCCCAGAAGGTTTCCTGTTTGTGAATTAGCGTTTGCTGAGCGAATGCAATTCATTCAAGGCCTCAACAAGACTGCGGTTTGTTTTAAGCACAGTGGACTCCGTGTCCCCTTTTTGATCAATGGTATGAGATGGATGCAAAGATTAAAGACTGTATCTTAGACAGATGTCAGCATTCAGGGTAGGAGGGGGGTGGGGGTGTCATCCTGAAGTGAGTTATGTAATGTCTGGACGAGCTGTCACGGTGCACATCTGCTGCTGGTTTCTAGATTACATGGTCGGCTGCCTGTAAACAATCAAAAACGTAAGAACAAAATGGGGTAACTAGTTTGTGCACTTGCATCACACACACACACACACACACACCATACAGACCACACACACTCGGGGAGAAGAAGCTTTAGCTTTGTCTTGTGTCTTTTACGTGACCACATTGCTAATGCTCTGACAATCAAAGGTTAATGCTATACACAGATGACTTTGCAACCCCGTCAGATGTTGTCTCAGGAATATTTTCTTTCTCTACTTTCTTTTTAAATCAAATTTAGTGACTTAAACCAATGACTAAAAAAGTGAGGGAGAATGGAAAAGGAGCGTGTGACAGAGGAGATGAACATGATGAGACATCACTGTCTCGAGCTGGGGTCAGCAGCTCACTCCAGGCAAAACATGTATTTATTTGTTTTTATCATTTTTTTTCTGACAGACCTAAAGCGAATAATGGCTTTTAGTTAGACATGATATCAATTAAAGTAAAACTGAAACACACAAACTGATGATGGAAGGTTTAAAAACAGGCTAAGCTTCAGTGGATCTGTTAGAGCATGTTGTGTGGAGTGTGTGTTCACAGAAGTGAAGTGTGCTGTGACGGCATCCCTGACACGTCCTCTCTGCATGGATGGCTCCCATAAATTCCCCTCATTCTCTCAGTGCTGGGCTGAATGGGGAGGTAGGCTATCATAATGTTGCAGAGAGCCGGTTGTGGAATGATTCCTAATCGTTAGTCGTTTTTCAGTGTTTTTTAAAAAAAAAAAAAAAAGTCTGTGGACTTGGTGTTTTCACAGACTGTGTGCTGACTGAGGCATGCTCAGACTTATAACGCAGCTCCTCGTGGAAAAGATAATATTTTCTGTGCATTTGTCTGAACAACAAAAGCCTGGAGGTAAAGGGAGTAAAAGAGTCGGAGAACAGGTAGCCTACCTGCTTTCAAACAGGACAAACTCTGCTCTGCTGTACCTCTGAAGTCCACTTGTGTTGCATTCAGCTGATTGGACATGACTTGTATTGACGGTGTGTGCCTTTCCAAGACTCGATAGTTTAGTTTGTGTCAAAGCACAAACCAAGCCCTGACATCCAAGACAGTTGGCAGTATTTAAAACAGTAATCTGTGTTCTTGATTTTATTCAAATGTTTTTCCTACATGTGTGATTCTTTGTTTCCAGGTGTGGTTTGGGGAGAAGTTCGACGCCCCCTCACTGAGCCCCAAGAGCCCTCGCAGCCCATTAGTGCAGCGGCACGGCCCCGGCCTCACAGACGTCTTCCAGTATGACCAGTGGTTGGCGGTGCGGCACGAGGCCACGCTGGTGCCCATGCAGGAGGACCTGGCCATATGGCTCACTGGCATGCTGGGTAAGCATCAGCTGTTCTGCATCACTTTTTCTTAAACGTTTCCAGGCGTATTGTAGAACCGTGCCTGTGTCCAAACCTGTGCGTTTGGGAATTAACAGCTGACGGTTGCATGTGAACCGTTTCCACCTCCAGGCTAGGAAAGTACTGAAGCGCTATTGACACGGGTTTCCCATGTAATTGGATTTGAATGCCGCTATTCCCAACCAGCTCATAGCAAACCACTGAAACCACAGTGGAACCAAATCTTTCATTTTGTCCGTGTGTGCTATTCTACTGACATCTATTGTCTCTTTTAGAATATAGGAGGAAATCGAAGCTGACTGGTAACTCTATTGTTGTTGCTGAATACGTTTGTTTTCAGAGGCAGACTTTGAGTTTTCTCATGAGGAATGTGGGCAGGTGCTGACCAATGAAATTATTGGTACCATGACCATAAAGACCCACATTATAAGATTTGTTTTAAACTGTTTGACCATTGATCATCACGTTGAGGAAGCAGGTGGCAAACGGTGGGTAAAGTTCCAGGCCTCGGGGGCTGACTGTTGTTGGTGGAAAATAAACTTTTGCAGAGCAATCGTTCTCACTTTGCAGGACGGTATTGTGGATTTTGTTCCCTTAGTAGCCTTTGTAGAGTTGCCTAGAGCGGTGATTTTAACAAAGGGTCGTGGGAACGCTATAATTCCTTCAGTAGGCTCTTGCTGAAAAGCTGAAGTCTTTCAGTGTGGTATCTGTTTAAACAAAAGGACAACAAAAGGCTTTTGTTGTGTGAACGTGATCTTTTCAAAGAACTGGAAAAAACCAGGAAAGGTAGGCTGTTTTTGCATTGAGCTCGGTTACTGTGAGTAGAGATTATTCTGTAATTTAAAAAATATAATAAACTCCTCTCTTTTCCAGGAGAGGAGGTGAGAGCCGAGGTTTTCATGGAGGACCTGAATAATGGTGTGAAGCTCTGCAAGCTTATCGGTGTGCTGCAGACTAAGATCGCTGAGAGCTGCCCCTCTGCACTTAGCAAGGTGAGTCACGCGGCTCAGCTTCCCTGCTCTCACATAAGGAATGTTTGGGAAGACCTATGAACGCCCAGTATGATGAAACTAAATGAATTTCCTGGACATACAGTCCTTTGTGCCGTGTGTTTGGTACACGTTTTAATAGAATTTGACCAGATTATATTCAGCCTATTGACTGCTAGATTTCTGTGTATTTTCTGTAGTTTGACATAAATCGCCTCGATGTCATGGTTCGTGACAATAAAGGTTTACTTTCTATCCCCATGACAGCTGTTTCCTACAAGGAAGGTAGCATGCAAGCGGGATGCCTCTCCAGGCTCCTTCTTTGCTCGCGACAACACCGCCAACTTCCTGGCCTGGTGCCGACACATCGGTGTGGAGGAGACCTACTTGTTTGAGTCGGAAGGCCTCGGTAAAGACCTACAACACACTGCAGCACAAACCAACAACAAGCTGCTTGCTTTCTGTGGTGCAGTCCTGTTTGTAGTCATGTGCTTGTTACCTTTTAGAAGTAAGAAATCTTTCAGTTCTCCTGTCGTCTATCTTTATACAAGCTCGTGCACTGCAGCTTGAACTCTGACCGCCATCTGACTTGCACTTGGGCCAGATTCTGGGCTGTTGAGTTACTGTAAGAACACAAAGTAACTCATTAAAATTCTTCAGTTATTAAACTTTAAGCTTTGTTCTCAGTCTCAAACTGGCACAGGACAAAAATGTAATCTTAGTTGATAAAAATCCTTTAATCCGGGTCATTTAGATGCAACTATGTGAACACACAACATGTTTTCTATCAGCTGACTCCTGCTTTTGGATTAAAAACCTTAGAAAAAGGTTTGAGCTGCACGCTTTCTTTTTTCACCTCAGTGTTTTGAGGTTTGTAGATTTGTACTAACTGCTATAACATATTTAATTATCCTCAACTTCCAATGTTGGGCTTCATGTTCAGCATGCTAATGGGATGAAAAGGACTAGATCCGCGCTGTAAGTTGAGTCTGCTCTTTAAGCTGTACTTCTTAATGGTTTAATAGGATCTGTTGAGGAGAGCAATCACTCTGAGTACTCTCTATGGGAGATCCCTTCATTACAAATAAAAGGCTCCCCAGCAAACTGGATTGGGGCGATTTGGAGCACAGCATGTGTACATGTAGATAAATGTTTTTGTTAGTGCCCTCGAGTGACTCTAAAGTTATGCTCGCCGAATCCCTCACCGTCTCCTCGGAGAATAATTAACTTTAATGTTGCTCTCGTCGCGGCACGTTTTGGAGTTCAACACGTGAATTCACTTTGTCGCTCCTGTTCTGTCTGCTTCGCCCCATCCAAAGGGAGCAGGAGCGTCAGCTGTTGTTGTAACTAATCGGCTTTGTTTTCCACCTCAGTGCTGCACAAGGAGCCTCGACAGGTTTGCCTCTGTCTGCTGGAGATCGGTCGCATCATCTCCAAGTAAGTCTTTAAACACCGAAGGCACTTTTAGAGGGATTAGAAATGGTTTAAGATTGAATTTCCACTGTAATCTCTGTGCGTCTCAGGTACGGCGTGGAGCCTCCTGTGCTGGTGAAGCTGGAGAAGGAGATCGAAATGGAGGAGACTCTGCTCTTGACAGAGGAGCCGCCTCCGGCAGTCAAAACCTTCAGCGTGTGTTGCCAGCACGGCGGCCTCTACCAACCCGGGGTGAGTTCAGTGATGAAACAAACTGAAACAAACACGATATGAGGTTTTTCACCTTGAGGCAAAATGTGTGGCCTCCTTTAGCGACGTCACTGTGTTGGGAGCACGTGTCGTCTGGATTATGATCCTGAAAGGTCGCGTAGAGAGGAGAAGATGTTTGGGAACTTAAAGCACACATTGGCGTGAGGCTGCTGAACATGTGGTACGTGTGCAACTGCATTGATGCTGAGCCAAGATGGCGCCAGACGGCCATCGGCACCCCAGAGGGTGCATGACGCATCAGAGCCCACCATGTGATGCTCCGTCGCCACTCGAGGTCACGTGTGACGGCAAATGACACGTGACCTCCAGGCTACACATGTGGGCCGCCGTACATATGTACTCGCAGTGGGTGGAAGTGGTCCATCTCACTCTGCCTCACTGATGGAGACTGAGGGTGGTGTTAGGAGGGTTCAGCCCTCTGTGTGGTTCACTGGGTAAAATGATGCACCAACACCGTCACAGTTGATAGTTTTATTCCCAGAGGAGATGGCTGTGCTAAAAATAAACTGCACTCGTTCAAGTGGAAGGCACTTTGGATAAAAGCATCCACAATCCCAGTGTGTCTATTCCCAACTGAGTCTGCCCATTACATTTGAGCAGCAACAATCAGCTCCTCGTAACCTGTGCTGCCTGACAGGTGCCTTCATCACCCGGTCATTGGTCTCATCTTTAGAGAAATTTTAACATAAAGTCGACGTGTTGGACTTCAGTGACACAGAGGATGTAGTTAGTGGATGGATTACTGCTCGCTTAAGCAAACGTGAGGTCATTAAAGTAGGGTGACCATATTTTGATTTAAAAAAAGAAAAAAGAAAAAAAGAAGACACTTGGCCTGGTCATGAAGAACTTTAATGATACTGTATGAAAATGTTAACATATTTAAACGATGACTTCTCTGTGCGGTTAATGAATGGTGAAATAAAAAACATCATATAGGCTTTTACAAGTCAACAAGTGCAAAGAAAAATAGCTTAAAAACGAAAGTAAATAATGGTACAGAAATAAGTCTCGTCCGTGTAAGAAAAATTACCAGTACCGGGACGGTACGAGGGAAATTTCTTTTGCAGTTCTTCTGAAAAGCTGCACTTGCGCTTTGGCATCTTTTAAACATCATCAGGTGCGCGTCTGTGAGCCCGAACAACTACTTGTAGGATGACGTCACACATATGGGTCCTCTGTAGGCCCATAGAAAACCCGGACATTTTCATCAATCTCAAAAATCCCCCCGGACAGAACGCGAAAAGCGGACATGTCTGGGGAAAAGAGGACAGTTGGTCATCCTACATTAAACAGGACCTGTTGTGCTGTTTTTTGTTTTTTCTTTCATTATTAAAGATCACCAGTGTTTTGCATTATGAGCGTGTGGGCTCAGGTAGAGGCAGCTCTGAATAATTGGTCTGCAGCTACAGCTCTTGTGCTGAGCTGACATCAGTTTGGCCTTATTTGATCATCTCAGTCACAGTCATGGTGAAGAGATGGGTCATAAAAATAGAAGAGCCAGAAGAGGGGCAGCCAATGAGGTGCAGCTATTTTCTGGATCACTTCAGAATCTAAAAAAAATGTTTGCGCCACTCTAAATCTTTGCGCCTTACAGTTTGAGAATTTCTACTTTAGAGATGGATAAACCCAAGGTGCTGCATGCAGGATCAATATAAGACCTATGGAGTAGTAAATGAGCTCTATAGATCCCATTTAAATCCTTGCTGATATCCATTACGTTGGGAATGCAGCATCGCTGCCAGGCAAACTTTTAATTTAGCTTTCTAATTGCCTTCTACTGTATCTTTCCCTTCCTCGTTTAGGAGCATGACATGGACAACCCACCCTGCAACTGCTCTAACAGAGTGTCCATCGAGTACCTGTCTGAGGGGCGCTACAGACTCGGAGATAAGACCATCTTCATTCGGGTTAGTATGAACGCACACTGCAGTTGAGGTGGGCAAATGCTAAAATGAGTGGTCTTTGGCTGTTTTTCAAGTATGCACGGTGGCTGTTGCCAATGTGTGCATCCTCTGGCAGTCGCAGCGGCTTTAACTGTAACTCAACATGTAAGCTCATTAACCAATTGTGGCTGGATGTGATGACATTACAAACACGCCGCTGTCTAAAGAGCCAAACTACATGTGTGTCTGCAGTTACTGAAGGACTTGTTGGTGTTGGACTGTCCAAACTGAAAATGAGTGAATTTTTACATCAGCCCTTCTTCTGCTTTGTGTCCTCAGATGCTTCATGGCAAACATGTGATGGTGCGCGTCGGTGGCGGCTGGGACACCCTCCGAGGTTTCCTGCTGAAATACGACCCGCTGCGGGTGTTGCAGTTCACCACTCTGGAGCAGAAGATCCTGGCCTTCCAAAAAGGCCCCCCAGGCCTCGGGGGTCATCATGGGAGTTCAGCTCCTCCTCCTGACATGGACCCGCTCGCTGCAGTCACTGATCTCATGTCACCTTCATCCTCCTCTTCATCTTCTTCCTGTTCTACCTCTTCCTCCTCTTCGACTCAAGCCTGTAAGCCAGCATCTGTGTCCGCCGTAGGTCAGACGTGTCGGTCCTACAACGCCTCTCCAGCCTGCACACCCACAATGCCCAGGAAGGGTTCAGTGTGTGCGCCTAAGAAGAACCTCCAGATGACTGGGTCCTTCCCCAGGAAGCCTACCCAGCTTCCTCTGCCTGTGCCCCCCAAAGGTTACTCCTCTAAGCCCCACACGCCTGTGGGAAGCACTCCCAGGCAGTCTCCTAGCCCTGGGTGTCAGGGTAGAGCTCTGATTCCTGCCGCAGCTCCATCACCTGCTGCTGTGGATCCAAGCTCCACCTCCAAATTGAAGCTCAGACCACCACCTCGCTGTGCCTCCTCTCAGCCCAGGAGCCCCGTCTGCCCTGAGCCATCCTCCAAATGTCCCAAACCCTCCAGCCCCAGCACCTCTCCCACCTCGGTCCCAGTGCTGCGCCCTATCACTGCACCAGTACGGTCAGCTACCTCTAAAGACACCCGCCCTCCGTTGGGCGCCAGTCAGCGCTCCCGTCTAGCACAGCGCTGTCCCGGCTCCTCGGCTTCGCGCCTCCGTCTCGAGGCAGTGAAGCGAGCGAAGACGGCCTCAAGAGCTGCAACTCCAACTCCCAGATCAGCAGCAACGACCCCTTTACAGTCCCGCACACCCACCCCCTGCTCACGGACAGCCTCTCCAGCACCGGCTAAACCTGCCTGCTCCCTGCCAAAAAGCAAGGAGGCCACAGTCAAAACTAAGGGACCGGCTGTCAACAAAGCAGCCGCCACCCCCTCACGCAGTACTGCCGACTCCCCCGGGCGGGTCCCAGGGGGCAACTCGGGCCCTTCCGCTTCCAGCAAAGCCAATCAGAAAACAGCAGTCACAGCTCAGAGGGCAGGGCGAAAACAAGCAGCCGCAACTAACGCCATCAAGCCGACTCTAAAACCGGAACTCACCCGGGCACCGCAAAACTCCTGCCCCAACATCAGAGCTGTTAAAACAGAGCCCAGCATCAGGAAGAAGGTCCCACAACTGAAAGGGAAAAGCGAGGAGCATTATTTTGAAATGAGCAGTAAGAGGAGGCAGAAGACCTAACCAGCAGGCTGGTGGCACTCAGCTTTGTTCTGCAGAAATCGTCAATAATCCTCATGAATTGTCATTTTTGTCTAGTTTTTTCTGTGTTATTTAATTGTCTTTTTATATTGTGTTTTTATTAATCCAAAAGGGTCAAAGATGCATCGTTTGTGTCATCTTTGTTCCGATTCGCCGGTCTCTTCCAAGGTCATTTCATCGTACCTGATTAACACTACGACTTGCACAATGTTTACATTTCTCACCTTTGTTGCACGTACAGCCATTACAGATATAACATTTTATTAATAAAATCAATACTCGAATACTAACCTCATCGTTTTTTGAACACAAGAACACCATCATGACTTAGTAGAATGCACTTGAGTGAGGCGTTTGCAGGATAAAGATCAGTTTTTATTGATGGAGGGATCCCGGGTAAGGCCCCTTCTGCCCCGTTTCCCTCAGCAGGTTACCAAAGTTGTGACATTTTATTCACCTCTGTGAGAATTCCCGTTCCACTGGTGGACAGTCTGACCTAGAACTTGTTTTATTTTGTATAAATATCTAGATAGGAGGTGACATCATTATGAACAATCCTCCCTGTTGTGTGCCTTCATCAGAAATCCCTTGTTTCTGGGTGGCATTAGAATGTATTAGATGTTGGAGGGTTAAAGTTTTTGTTTTTTTTTTTTTTTAAATTTAATATAACTGATTAAAATTGCACAATGTGTATGAGCACTCATAACTGTGGGTAGTCAAAGAAAAGCCCAGGTTGATGAACTACTGATCAAACGCCTCTCTTTCAGGCCCCCTGCAGGCCGACATCATTTTGGAGCAGAGTCTACTTGGTATAGATTTTTTTTTAAATATATAGATATATCTGTATGAGACTTCTAATTTTTTTGTTGTGTGTATTAAAAATATAGTTTTCTATGTGGTGGTGTTTGTGTGTTTTTTATATATGTAAACTCTCATTAATAAGGCTTTTTTTTCTTGTTTGGCACTTTACAGAAATGTTTTGGGTTTTTTTTTTTTTCCATATTTTGAATGTTGATTCTGTCGGTCGTCTCCTGTTTCAGCTACTTTTGGTCATTTTGATTAATAAAAGTGGTTTCAATAAATCTTGGCTGCGTTGGGTTTTTGTTTCTTTTCTTTTTTTTTTTCTAAACGTTTTAGTGGTGCACATTGCTGTGGGATTTGGTCCTGTAAGACTTTTAAACTCTGAATACAAAGCTGAGGCTGTGTCCCAATTAAGAGACCGCATGCTTGAAGTACGCATTTTGAGTGCGATTACGTCACCGCCACGCGACGACGGCTGTCCCAATTCGAAGTGTACTTCAAATGCATACTCCAAATGCGCCGTCGATTTCCCCAAATATCAAGCGTGGTCCCATATATCCCACAATCCATAGCAGATGTTATGTGTTTGTATATTTTCTGCCCAGTTTGACCCATTTAGCAGAAGTCAGCCTGTTTAAGGCTCTGATATCTGTTCTGTATGACTTAAAGCAGTTATGACATGGTCTGATTTTCTCACCCAATAAAGGAATATTTAATATATCAGTCTACTCCTCATTCTATCAGACACAGTTTTCACAGCTCGTACATTTTGTTTTTACACATATATGTAAGCATTGAGCCAAATTTTTGTCTCATATATAATACAGCTATATATACACTGTCAATATACACTATATATATATACATATGTCATATATACACTTTGAGTGAAGATTTAAGGTGATAGGATATTTAAATAAATGCAACTTGAATCTTTGACCCAGAGTTCAAGCTCACTGCTGTAATATATCCTGTAATTAATATATATACGTATATATATATGTATATGTATATATGTAGATATATGTATGTGTATATATATATATATATATATATATGTATGTGTATATATATATATGTATGTGTATATATCATAATAATCTGACAATAATATAATATTGGCCATATTATATTTACATTACCACAGTGAGATGATTTTAGTCTCATGAACAACATTAGCTAATTGTTATTTACTAACTAATCTTGAAATGACTCTTCAGTACAGAAATGAAGCCCAACAATAATGTTTTACAGTCCTGTGGTCTCAGCCTCAGATACTCAGCTAATCAAAGTGGTGTCATGACAGAAATTAATGACCAACAAAACATTTATTCTCCTTCATTTCTGTCACACAAAACTGTATGTAATGTTTCTCGCGGTTAGTATCATGGTTGCTAGGCAACCCGAACAGCGCAACGGAGGCTAGACCCTCCCATTTCACAAGCCTCTCACTTCCGCACTTCTCGTACTTATAGTACGTAGTACGCGTAGTGCGCGTACTTCAAGCGTGCAGACCCTGCACTATGCATCTTCTTTTTGTTTTCATATTTTAATTTGAAATTCTGTGTTTGGCAAGATTTGTTCCAATACTACCCCCCCCCCCTCCACTTTCCGTCATTTTTGATTTCTGTCCTCATCAGTATAAAATTTAGAAAGATCTTTCTATCCCAAAACTTCCCAAAACTTAAATGAAAAGTTGAGGATAGCTATTGTGTACAAATGAGAAATGACGTGATGCAGCTATTTTTTTTCTATGTAACAAATACCAGATATGTTTTGTTTTTCTTCTTGTTGCAGTCATGTACCACTAACACTGATTATGTCATTAAAAGTCGCCCTGGACCAAATATAAAAAGAACATCAATAAGCCTGAGGTCATAACATCAAAACTGCCAGTGAAGTAGAAAAGCTCTACCGTGCTGCCCTCTAGTGGCTCTAATAAAAAACAGCATGGCAATAGAGCTAATTTTCATGCTACAAGTCCCGTTTATTATTAGAAATATTTGCACTAAAAGCTGTTTAAAACAAATGCCACCATACTGGTAAAAACAAAACATGCATCTAATTGTACCTGCAGAGTCTTCTTCAGTAAGCACACAGAAACCCTGAATTAAAACCCTGCACTATAAAAACTGAAGCTCTCCATCCCAAAAACTTAATTCTGTTAATCAGCACGTTTCGTGACTTCTCGGGTGTAGCTCTCCATGTAAAACCTTTACACTACGAGCACAAGGACATGTTACTTTTCCTGTGTCGATGACACCAAACACAGCAGAGAAACCGCAGTTTAAAAACTGCCTTCGCTTCTGCTTTTGCTTAAGAGACGAGAGAAAAGTTAACATTAGAGTTAATGGTCGAGGGACTCGCGGCACTCGGGCTCCTAGTTTGAATTGTGTGAGTGTCTGCGCGTTTTAAAGGCCATTTTCTTAAGGGGCACAAACATTGTATACTTCAAACTGCAGTTTGAAGTATACAATGTTTGGTTAGACAAAGAATTGTGGGGGGAAAGCTGATATTTGTATTCATAGAGTTTTGAGGAGGTTTCTTCCTGTTAAACAGGAGTTTTTCCTTTCCACCGTCACAAAAGCTGGCTCGTAGATCACCTGATTGTTAACTTTACAACGTAAATCACTTTAAAGTTGCTGTGGTGATTTGACACCATATGAATAAAACTGAATTGAAGTATATAATGAAGTGTAGCCACAAAAACTTCACACAGCAATACATTTGTCTCGAGCACCAATATGCCCTAAAGACCCGTATGAGCTACACCTGTAATTTATATCAGCACCATGGACAGAGCTCACCTCTGAGAGACGAGGAAGCGGAGGCTACATATATACAGATGCTAGGCATAAAATTATCACCAAAAGAATATCATCAAAAAGTTGATTTATTTCACCAGTTCCATTCAAAAAGTGAAAGTTGTATAATGTGTACATTCATTACACACAGACTGACATATTTCAAGTGTTTATTTCTTTTAATTTTGATGATTATAACTGACAACTAATGAAAAATTCAGTATCTCAGAAAATTAGAATTTTGAGAAAAATTTCAATAATGAATCAGATAATAAACTCAAAACACTTGCAAAGGCCTTTAAATTGTCTCTCAGTCTAGTTCTGTAGAGTACGCACTCACGGGGAAGACACAAAAGATCATTGGCTGTTCACAGAACTCTGTGTCAAAGCACATTACTAGAGAGGCGAAGGGAAGGAAAAGATGTGGTAGAAAAAAGTATACAAGCAATAGGGATAACCACTCCCTGGAGAGGACTGTGAAAAAACCCATTCATTTCATTACTTGTCAGTTATAATCATCTAAATTGAAAGAAATAAACACTCGAAATATATCAGTCTGTGTGGACTGAATGTATTCATTATACAACTTTCACTTTTTGAATGGAATTTGTGAAGTAAATCAACTTTTCAATGATATTCTAATTTTATGACCAGCACCTGTATGCATACGTCTCACATATATTAAACCATACCTGCCTTCTTAGGTGAGGACGACACCAGAAAACCCCCCAGGATGGATGAATCTACATTCCTTTAACAATCCTTGCATGAAGCCTAAAAATGTTCTTGAGAAAATGTACTAATTTCATCAATCCAGTATCGGGACACTATGAAATGAAGTATGAAATTAACTTCAGCTGTGACAAAATATATCTAATAATAATAACTATAATATATATCTCATTAAAACAATGAGCTAAAATGTAACAACAATGGAGAGGAATTGTCTTTACTTTTAGATACATCCCATTACTACTCTATAGAGCTTATATTGACCTTCATGAGGATGAAAGTCAGAAACATGATGGAAGAAAGAAATCATCAGAACACCTTTGTTTGGGGAACAATCAGACAGGAGATGCGTTCTTACCTGTAGGCATTTATTAAATATCAAAACACATTAAATTACAATTTACAACTGACCTTATCTTTTAAAACAGATCTAGATGCCATTTATAAAAGTCATGTGAACAGTTCTGAAATCCTAACAAACTCCTGTTGGCTTATAGGCGAAAGAGTTCATCAGTTGTCTCATCAGTAGTCTTCAAGCTGAGTGTGAAGCCCTGAGAAAAGTTGTGGCACAACAGATTCACAGGAAATCAGCCAGCACCATTAAAGCGAGAGGAATTAAAAAAAATCCGTGTAAAATCCAGTGTGCAAAGTACAAAAAGAGTGACAGGACTGCATGACTTCAGTTTTGGATAAATATTAAATCTTGATTTATTATTCTTTTTGTTTAAAATGGTGTAAAATGTCTTTTGTGACCTGCAGGAGTCCAGTTAGAGCTTAAAGTGGTTCATGAGACTTCCATATTAAAGTTTTCCATGACAGTAGTGGTCAGCAGGTCTACACAATGTACCGAGGAAACACATATCTTCTGTTTTGTCATTTAAAAACAAACAAACAAACAAAAAAATTGTGCTGATGGAAATAATCTGAGTAATTTGAGATGAGACGCCTCGCTTTGTGAACTGTTAGTGGTTTGGGACTTCAGTGCAGACGGTAAACTGAGCAGAAGCAACATGAAGCATCAAAACAAGCATCTTAGACATTAAAAAGATAATTAAGGCAACTCTTTCAGTTCCTCCTCTGTGATTGTTAAAATGTCTTAAAGTGTTTGATAAAAGTGGCGTTAGTCTTCAGAGGAAGTTGCTCCTTCCGCTTGAGGTCTATAATGTCACTGTGGCTCCCAAGGTCAAACGTAACCTCACCCATTGAATGTGTCCTGGGTTTACAGTAGCAGTGGTGTGTGCTCTCCCACCGGCTCAGTGCGCATGGTGAGCTGCCGCACTCGTGCCAGGAGGCGGCTGGGCAGAGAGGGGAAGTGGTGGCTCGGGTCCAGGACGTTAGTTTTGCGCCGCTCGCGTTCTTGCTGCCACATGAGGTACGGGCTGGGCGGGAAGAACGGCCGGGAGCGCTCGCGGTAGAGTTGCAGGACAACGCCGCACACGCTGAGCACCACCCACACTGTGATCATGACGTAATCTGGTCAAAAGAAAACCAGAGAGTTTTAGTTGAAGGCCAGTAACTCAACTTTGCCAGCTCTGCTGAGCTCTTGACATTCACTCGTGTACTCACCGATGGTTTGAAACGGCACGTCAGTGAACACTGCAGTGAAGGTGTTGTTGAGCAAGCGCTTGAGGATATTCAGGGTGATGTAAGAGAGGCTTGTGTAAATGTAGGCGTTGACAGCAAGAACCACAGCGTACGCGCCAACGATCCCACATGTGGTGATGTTTCCCTGTAACACACACATGATTTTTACTGTTTGAGCTACGAAGGCTTGCAAAATCAATGCTGCACTCTGTGTGTTGTAATTGTGCTTTGGACCGTGCCATTTCTCCAAAAATAGTGAATTTATCTTGTGAGCACACTTGTTCGATCATTTTGGGCTGTGTAACTTAAATGTTATATAAAACTGAAATTATTATTCTAGCCAGGCAGCAATGCAGCAAAGTGCGAAGGTGACCGAAACAGGACATGAATGATGAATGAAATAATGATGGATTAAGCACCATTAGACCCTTACAGTCAATACAAGAGTCATACAGCTGCTCAAACTAATGACTATTTGCTGACAAACATTTAGTGCTATTTATGTCCAGAACCTGGAGCTGGCTCTGGATCATAGTCTTTCTAACTATGGTACCTGCTGTTGACCTAAATGTCATTCTTGACATGACCACCAGGTGACGCTAAAAACCTTTAAACACCTCCAGCTCCTGAAGCGTTAAATCAGTTACCTCTCTGGGCCAACGCACGAAAAAGAGTGGAACGATGAGCGTGACGCAGCAGAACGTCACCCAGAAAACAGCGTCGGATTTCCTGAACACATCGATGTCTCCTGCAGAAAGACCACGACACACAGAAACTTATGGAACATGAAGCGTTTAACAATAAGCTGTAGCTTTTTCTCACGGTACTGAAGAGTCAACGACACAAAACAAAAGCCAGATTTATTCCGTACCTAATGGAGTGAAGAGGACAACGGAGGCGAGGAGGAAGCCGAGCATCAGGCCGACCACAATCACGACCACGGCCACGACTGAGCCGAAACGCCACCATATCATGACCAGGATGATCCCGCCCACCACGCCGAGCACGGCTGACAGGGTCAGACGGACTGCACAGAGAAAGACACAGACAGCAGTGAAAAGCATGAAGTGCTGCACATCATGTGAAAAGACTGAAAGCCTAGAAACCCCCCCACCCCCGCGCGCCCCCCCGACTTACTGTCATAGTCCAGCTCTGTGGTCCTCGTGATGAGGATGAAGAACAAAAAGGCTGCAAAGCTGAATCCCATGCAAAACAGCTCTGTGTGGTCAGGAGAGGTGGAAACAGGGCCCAAGAAACAAAAGTCAGAGGGAGGAGAGAGAAGAAGCACCAAACATAAGATAACAGCAATTCATTCTCTTCACATTTCACACAAACATTGTTAAAGCGACTGAAATTCCAGCTCCTGGGATGTCATGAAGCCTCGTGCTCCGGAATAACAAATTCTCCTCAGACCGGGGAGACATACTGTGTCTGTCATTATCAGATTAATTAGAAGCACTGGCAGCGGGGGCTGATCAAAGTGATGGGTTCAGTTTGGAACAAATGCATTTGTGCGTGACATGCCAGGGAGACCACATGAGAGGCAGGCCACTGCTAAAACCCACCGACTGAAGAATGAAGGGCTGAGAAGATGTTGCAGCAGCTCTGTGTGCATTTGATGCTTTTTCTTTGTTTAGTTTCTATGATGAAGTTATCTTTTTTTTTTTTTTAAAACAGCTTCTGACCCCATAGTTCTCTCTGCTGACCATGTAACGACCCGTGATGGGAGGCTCTTGTTTATAAAATAAACAACTGGCAGAGAGCTTCAGAGTCTAGAGAGGAAGCTTTAAAGGCTTAAGACTAAAGAGTGGCTGAAACCTGAAGTTTCATCAGCTACAAAGATGACAATGTGGACCGATTGATACAAATAAAGTTACTGACACAAATCAACAAAAAATCTGACTATATACTCACAAATGTCCTGACTGTAGTAGTATTAATACTACACAGACTGACCATCATACTGTAGCACCAAAGCCACACAAAACAAGAACTAACTACTCACCACATTTAAAGAATCGATGCCCAAAGAAGCAGACAAACAGCCCTGCCAAGCCAGTGATGGTGAAGAAGATTTTTGTAGATATCTTCCCTGAAATATCATTTACAAACCGCAGTTACAATAAGTCAGTCATTTATACAGTCAGAAATCCCTGCTTCAATAGCATCGAGTTTTCGACAGAGCTCAGAAGCTCACCTAGAGTTTGGCAGCTGTCTAGAGTGGAATTGAAGCTGCAGGCGTAGGTGTGGGCGGGCACGTAAGAGGCCGAGGTGTTCAACAGCGGGTCTCTAACGATCACGGAGTAGATTATGCCCTGACCGGGGATGGAATTGAAAACCATCGAGCTCACATCTGTCGATTTCAGCGTCATGACCTGTGGGGAGACACAGAGAGGAAAAGGCAGGAGACTTGTAAACAGGCAGCTCCGGCACATTCGACTACTAATCTTCGGCATCCGCTGCGTTCACGTTGCATACCCGTTTGCCGTTCTCCATCATGCCCTGCTTGTCGGCCACGGCCTGAAAGCCGGTGAACAGGCTGCGCTCTGACAGGTCATTCTCAGGCAGGAAGTACTGGTAGATGTCGTACTGCAGCCGCCAGCGTGTGTCGGCTCCTGTGGATTGGCTGCAGGCTGGAGGAGCTCCATCTCTGACGGACAGGAGCAACATACATTTATCTTTGGATCACCACAATTTTGTTTTCATTTTCTCAGAGTATTAAATTTTTTCAAAACCTGTAGCACAGCTAAGACCTGAATCTTAGTTTAGAGGGAGTAGTCACCAGGCCGACTGATCACATGATATAATAACACATAACTCCAGTTAGACATGTCAGACAAGAAGAGTTTCTAACGCATCACTAAACCAACCTTTATTGTTTAAAGTTAAACTACTCTAGTAATTATATCAAAACCATTTACCATGTTACATGCGTGATGCTTGAAATATATATAAAAACAACAAAACAAAAACAAAAAAGGGAAAAAAATGTGATACTGTCTAACAAACATATTATCTACAAGCAAATAAGATGCATGTTTTCCCCCGAAAGCTTTCACGTTAAAATTTGAATAGAGTCTCCACAGACCAAACAGGAAATGACTGTGTGTAAGTGAGCAAAACCATTTCAGGACAACTCTGTGGCACTGATATACAAAGCAAAGCGTGAGAAGGTGAGAAGGTGAGGCTGTGTGTGTGTGTGTGTGTGTGTGTGTGTGTGTGTGTGTGTGAGAGAGAGAGAGCACGAGATCATTTCAAAGAAAACAAACGGAGGTGGTTTGACGATAGCGCGCGGCAAATGTGATCTCTGTACAGAGCCGCTGATGCCTGTGGCTCAACAGGCTGAACAGGAAGTGAAGAAAACAATAAGAGTCAGTGTCATGTGCTACCTCTTATATCCCAGGTTGGCAGGTGCAAAACGGATCGTGGTCTCATAGAGGTTGTAGTGGATGTAGATGTTTGGGTCAATTTCCAGGTCAAACTCCATATTGCACGCTCCTGGAACTGGATCTGACACAGAACACATTCACTGTTAGACGCTGGACTGGACGTGGTGGGCCAATAGGAGGAAGGCTGAGAGTCATTCTGCTATGTCAACATGACTTATTAAAATAGGTTTCAACACCCAGTGGAGGAAAACCAAATCAGTGCGAGTACACGCTCGTGGTCGCCTCAGGTTTCCTCCAGTGACAATCACGTGGTTTTTATAGTTAATGTCCAAAGTTTTTGCTTTCTTCTCCTTTTACTTTCCTGTTCTGTGCTCCTCAGGCAACATTCAAAGACAGTGAAACAAGTCAGAAGAGAAGCACACTGGTGTGTTTTGTAACGGAGGACAGTTGAAGTGTTACCAGTGCTGGAGTAGGAGAGGATGACCCCGGTCCCTGCCACAGCGTTGCCATCAGGAGAGGACAGGAACAAGGTGAGGGACGTTTGGTCCCGCCGGAGAGCCGACACGAGCCCTGAGTCCACCGCAGTCAGGGAGAGGCCCAGGCCCGGCATCTGATCCCAACAGAGATATCAATTAGTAAGCAGATAATATGCAGAGGGACATGCTGTGCAGTTTAGAAAACATAGAAGTGCTCCCATTCATGGTCTGACCTCATGACGGTGCTTGAGGAAAACTTTAACAAGCATTCAACTTCATGGTGGTTATAGATGAAAGACTGTGGATTACCAAAGCCATCTCTGAGGACCATGAAACATTTCCATGCAAACGTGGGTGAAATAGTTTTGTCTGACCAAAATGATGTACAGTCTGATCTCAAACTAAGGTGGTAACGATCCCCTGCCAGTTTAACCTACATAAACACTTTCTCCTCTGAACATCTCAACACACTTGGTTCTTTGTTTGGTGGATTAGTGTGAACTTGGCAGCGATTATGATTCACTGCAGACTCGGGTCCTAACGAAGTTAAACACCTTAAATGCTGGTGTCTGTCTCCAAAACAAGAGGAAAGAAAACATTACTCAACTTGTGCTATGAAAAAAAAAAAGGACATACATTCTAATAATAGAGCTCCTAAGAAGAATGACAAACATTTTATTTTAAGAGTCAGATCTTTAGGCCCAGGAAGCACCGCTACAGTTAAAAAAAATAACTTCCTTCTGCTCTGATTTCTAGTTGGTACAATGGCTCTGTTCTGTGACTTTCACACTCTTCTGTCACAGCAGTAAGACCTCCTGTAGAAAACAGAGCAGGCATCAAAGAAAGCAGATATGAGACTGATTGAATCAGCATTAAAACATGTGTCGGGGTGGGCGTGGCCTGCAAAGCAGCTTGCAGATGTCCTGTAGTTTTAGGATAGAGCTACGTTTGTGAACAATACAACAGCTACTTCATTTGGAAATGAAAGCTGCTTGTGATTGAAGAGATTGCTGACATGAAGAAAACTCCATTTTACTCCTTTAACTTTGCATTAAATTGACTTCTTACTGTAAATGTTTTTTTGTTGTTAAAACTTCATTAATTTGAATTTCACTGCCTTTGAGAGCAGGACAAATCAAACACAGGCGTGTGCCACACGGTATACCACATCCTGACCTGGTGAGCGCTGCGTTCACATGAACAAGCTGGTTTAGCGTTAGAGAATATGTTGTATCAAAGCAAAAATACATTATCGCACGGGTTAGAGCGCGACATTATACGTGCTTCAGCACTGAGCCGGCAGAGTCTAATGAAAACCGAGAGACTTTACATTATCTGCACTGTGTTTCACGTGGAAAGATTTTTGCTTGTGACAGACAACAAATGGAAAAAACTCATACTCAGGCAATGATCTGAATTACTATTGTGTGACAGGCCTGGCGGCATAGAAGATCTGCGCCCCCATGACATGCTCTCAGTCCCACTGTTGTATAATAACCGCATTGTATCACCATCTCTTGTGGACACAGACGCTGCTGGAGTATGTAGATTCTCAAGTCAGCACAGGCTCAACTTCCGTTGTGTCATCAGCCGCAGAGGTGGGGTCGCTTCAAACCCAACTATCACAAGTGAGTTAAAGTTTCAACACTTAAGTCACCAACAGGAAGTGGGTAAAACAGTTATATAATTAAGTGTAGGTTTGGTTTATGAAAGCATTTCCTTTAAAAAATGATTAGTTTATCTGTTTTTATGCTTCTAATTGAAATATTCAGTTACCAAAAACATTGGCAGCCGATAAACAACGACAAATATAAATCAGGATCTTGTGGTTATCGTGTCAAACAAGCCAGAGGAAGAAAAAAAAGGAAATTGACAAAAGAGATAAGAATATAAAGGAAACTGGTGTGCACAATCTGCATATTCACTTTTCATTAAGCTTTATCTGATGCTGTGTAAAAGCACACTTCCTGTTTTGCTCTTTCTAAATTTCTCTGTGCTTGTTTTTGGTGATTGCTGGTGATCTTTAAACTTGAGACATGTCTTAATGATAAGACGAGTCTTCAATCACATGGATTTGTTTTTCTGGGCCTTTCCACTGTTGCCACCACCAGAAACGTAAATAAGGAAAGTTAAGCTAAACTACTTTCCATGCTCCTGTGTGCTGCATGGACCCAAACGGCGCTGTCTCCTCAGACTTCTGGGACTGACGCCAGAAGTTTTCCCCCTGAGGAACGCCCCGTCTGCCACTCATGACCAGAGGACTGTAGATCAGCTGACTGCGGGTTCTCTCAGAGGGTCAGACGACCTCACTCACAAAGCCTCATTCATTAGCCATATGTAGAACTAACTGCCCGTGATGCACTATGAAATATGCCTGTGAGTTTATTTCTGTTTATATTTTTGCTGTGTCATGTGACCACACTTCTGAAGGATCACCCAATTTAGATTACCGTATTTCCCGGACTACAA